TGTTATTGTCATAGGTGGTCATGGTCCTTAACCTTCTAAATCGTTAGAAAGAAGTGTAAAACATATATTTACAAGAACAAATAAATAATAGAAAGGGCAGCCTAAAAAAGCAAAATGGGAAAATTATTAAGTAATTTTCGGAGTTGCCAAAATGGAATAAAATTCTTTATTTGTCCCATAGGGGGTCATTCTAAATTTAGTGTTGTGCAAATTCAAAAGGAGAAATAATAGCGCTTATAACATCAAACAGATCTACTCTTTAAGATAATAGATCATATAATAATAAGATAATAATAGAATAGAATGAAATAGTCTGGAGCTATAATGTCATTGGATTCAAGGAGCTATAGGTTGAAAGGTCGCTAAGAAGAGGTGTCAGAATAAACAATAGTAATAATAGTTAGAGTAGTGAATAATCATCCATCCATCCATCCATTTTCTTCCCCTTAATCCATTTCTGGGTCGGGGGGGGGGGGGTGGCAGTCAGAGCTGCACCCAGTCCACAGAGCACCAGCCCCTCACTGATCCTCCTGCAGGTGGTGAGTCCACAGGAGTGAATAATCAAAATAGTTCTATTGTGGAAATAAGTATCAATAAGGTCAAATTGTTCTAATAACTAAAGTAAAAAGGAATCAAATGGAGTCAGATTTTAGATGTTTCTGTTTTCCACATCTGTAGGATCTAGTGCAGATGTGTTTATAGAGAGTAGTATTAAAATGCAGACATAGAACGACAGGCTTTAACAAAATTTTAAATCTAAAAATAGCTCAAATATAACATTGCTCTTGACGCAGTCTCTGAGCTGCTCCATTGGAGAACAGGTTAAATGTTATTGTTTATTACAAACAGCTGATGTATTTACACATATTAAGTTTGGGACAACTCTTTAAACAGTTATAAGCAGCGGACAGAAGCCATGAATGTGCTTTTGTTTATTAAATAATTAAATGCATAGCCTTATAATCGTAGAGAACGTTTTAAAATAGTTAAAATCCCTTTCAGGCAACTTGATTTAGATGTATGTCTTTAATATTGGAGAACGACTGTGTTGTTTTTGGAATTGTCTGAAATACAATACATAGAATAAGTTTGTGTAAGCTCTCAGTCGTACAGGGATTAGTCAAAGCAAAGGAAGGTTTCTCACCCATCATCTGTACTTCTTAGCAAGTTTTCCCGACGTTTCGTCCTCAACCTGGGGACTTCTTCAGGGAATGAAGAAGTCCCCTGAAGAAGTCCCCAGGTTGAGGACGAAACGTCGGGAAAACTTGCTAAGAAGTACAGATGATGGGTGAGAAACCTTCCTTTGCAATACATAAAATAGTGATTCGCAGAACAAGAACCAGCCAATGAAAAATCGTCCATTGCCAATGCCATTGTTACAATTAGAACCACAACTGTGACCAAATGCAATAAATGTTAAGGGTTCAGTCTGGCAGACAGAAAGGTTGATTTTTAGTCTGGGAGACTGAGCAACTGTTAAAATGTTTTAAAATAATGAAGTATGAGTATTTCAGCGTTTTAGTAAATGTTAAATAGTATATAGTATTTGATCATTGGTCATAAACAAACTTCGGAGTAAGAGTTAAAATGGTACCATACATTGTGATCCTTCTGATAGAGCAGCTAGATGGAGTTAGAATCAGAATTATTTTACAGCCATTGAAAGTGATAGAACTCACAAATTGGGAATATGCTTTGGCTCAAGCTACAGCCGAGCTTTGGAAAAAATAGCGTAAAACTAGAAATAGATAAATGCATCAACCATAGAGGCTTTCAAAATGGAGATTATTTTTAGCCAAGGCTAATATCAAACGGTAAAAGGACCATTTCCTTCATATTATGTCCAAAAGTATTTACTTCAAAGGTAGATGAAGTTCATTACAGTTTATGCACAGTTTTATTAGATACTGTCAAATTCACTTGTTTCAAACATAGGTGAATGTTAACAATGCCAAAAGTTAATGAGATAGATTAATGAGATAGATTAGAAACAACAGAGATTCAAAAACATTTAAAAGCATTATAATGTATTTGGGTATAGCACAAAAGTAGATATTTAGGTATTTTTTGAGAATTTTAAGAGCTGTCGATTTGTCAGCAATAGATTAGAGAATCAAATACCGTTGTATAGGGACTAACCCCAGAGAAACCTGCTAAAATAGATTAGCTCCTGTACGGATAATACCAATTTGATTAACGATGTACATTTATCCCAAACGGTCTGAGAGAAGGAAGTGACAGCACTTCCTGGTTCAACAAAATGTATTTGGAAAAATGAGCAAAGCCCCACAAAATGGCACAAAGCCACTGATAATGACAGCAAACCACAGTATAGATAGATTTATTAGATAAAAACATATGTTTAAGAATAGGGCTCAATAAAAGCAAAATAAGCAAACATATTTGTAAACTATAGTGAATAGTTTTAGTGCATACATTACAGACGAGGTTGAAGAAGAATCAGAATGACAGCAGTGGTCATCAAAGAGTTTAGTGAAGGAATGTTTCGAATGTGGTTGTGTGTTGTTTGTCTTTCTGTATTAACTCTTCACAAATAACGAGCCAGAACCAAGAACCAAGGCGATGATGGACGAGCTTCCCAGTCCCGGCACCCAGAAGGGATATTGAAAGATTGTGACCTAAATTGGTTTAATATAGGTCAACAGAGGGGAACTGTTGTATATTTTAAATATAGACTAAAGGCAGATGTGAATTTGATTGACCCGGAATTGAACTCTTGTCTCTTTCCCAAGCAAAAAGACCTGTGCCCTCAGGGATTAAGTCACAAGGACACAGGATAAGCAGACGGGAATTATAAAAAGATATCGTCTTTGAACAAGGCGAATTATTAACGTTCGATAATAAACATTATCTGCTGACAGAGCAAAAGTCCCTCACCATCAGGCGGAAAGGGAATTCACCAACAGCATTCTAACGCCTCCCAGTGGACAAGGGACGTCAGCACACCCGGAAAGCCCCACCCTTGGACGCGTATGGATGACGTCATCGGAAGTCTCCCGTATATGTGCCCTCGGAGGGTTTTGAGGTCAGACAGGACAGGGGCAACGGACAGGGAGAGAGCAGGCATAGATTAAGAGCACTCTTTTGTTGAATATTCTGTATCTGATTGTAAAGATAATTAAATGCAGATGTTAAACTTGGAGAATCTTTTTGTCTGATTTCTGTATCAAATTGTGGACACGTCAGCCAAAGGGAATTATTGGCTTCACTTATCAATATGGTTTGTCATAGCAGGAGACGATGGTCAGGCCCAGCAACAGTGATCAGGCTGCGTCTGGCCAGGAGGCAGCCAACGCCAGAGTATGTTAACATGAGAACTACCATACATACTGTAGCACATATACACACCCAACACTGTCAAGTCAAACCATCAGTACCTCATGAGTTTGCCTTGTAATTGCAGGAGGGTAGCCAGGAACAAGATGGTGCCAGTACAACAGTGAGTGGTCCATAATTACTATACTTGATGGAATGCCATTACTACCATAAGATTGCTCATCAATATGGTCTGTTTATAGCAGACCAGCGGCAGTCCATCAGCACTGTAGTAATCATTAAGATTACGAACACTGTAATGGACTCTTATGTTTGTTGTTTTACAGACGGCCGTTTCTCATGAGTTGGCAATCATTGAAATACCCCTGGCCCCTGGCCCCACTGCAGTTCAGCATTGAACCAAAGGATTGGGCCAAATTGACAGCCAAAAGACACAGTACAGGGTTCCAAGGTTTGGAGTGGACCATTGTCATTTCCAAAGGAATTCGTACTGTGTTCCCCTATTGTTCCTTTGGATTCAAAAGACACCACTTAAAAAAACCAAACTCCTCACGGAAGGGGCCACTTTTCAGCTGCCTCGCCTACTGCAGATTTGAGGACTGCAAGGTTGAGGCAAAGGTGACTTTGGAATCCCTGAACACATTATCTGCGAAGTTGGTCCTGGATAATGGACCAGCACGACATTATGCCGGTGACCGTAAAAGTCGACCTGTGCGGGCCAGTGACCGGACCACGCTGGGGGAGCGTCTGCAGACTGAGAAACCCAGAGCCATGCTTGTGAGAGATGTAGGGGCACTCTCAGAAGCTGTTTTTGACTGAAGAATGTTTCCTATGATGTGAGGAAGAGGAGGAGACTCCATCATAATGAAATACAGAGTCTGGAGCGGATGCTCAAGCTGCCAACAAATGACACCAGTGTGCTCATAAACTTGCTTCTGAGGCCAAAAGGAGTAATGCTCTGGTCTCTCCGTGGCATCCAAATATACCAGGCAAGGAGGACATAGTGTATTTGGATGCCACTGGGAGCTTATTGAGGAGCCAAAAGAGTAACCCACCCTTCTATATCTACGAGTTAGTAGTTCGTCATCCGAAGAAGGGTGGGTCACCTCTCCCTGTGGCCACTTACATCACATGTGACCATACCACTGCATCAGTGACATATTTCCTGATGTCATTCGTCACTGATGTGAAGAGGAGCCATGGTCACAGGGTGGTGCCCTTAATGGTCATGTGTGACGGCTCACAGGTTTTGATGCAGTCCATCTCCTTCGCCTTTGCCAACAGGGGGCTCACAGACATATTGGCAGTGTATTTCTAAATTGCTACAGGGAAAGCTGTCAAAACAGACTGGCAGGTGCCAGTCCTCCACAGGTGCCTGTCGCACATCATGGAAAATGCAAAGGAGATGTGCAAATGAGTACTGGTGTCCAATTATTTTATAGAAAAAGCAGTGGATTGTGACAAAATCCAAACTATGCATCCATGTAACAAAGCATGATGAGCACTGATGATCTTGCAGACTGAGCATGACATTGTCATATATAGCTTGTCATATTTGTACATAAAGAAAAATGTCATACCATAGGCTTAGGCTACAGTATTAATTTAGTGCATTTGCTTACAGTGCCCCACAGTGTTATGCCTTGGCAATGCACATATTTGGCCTCTTTACCACAGCTAGCACTGTACATGAACTGGAGGACATGGTGTACAGTGCAGCTGTGTTATTTGGAAGCCCGTGTGTGGGGCCTCTTGTGGAGCATCATTTTGCACATCTCCAAGCACTCATGGTGCACTTGCCATCCCCCATGGAGGTGGACAACGAGGCTGTTGTGGACTTGGAGGTATAGTGTAGGCCTTTACTTGTAACATAACCAGGAGTTCATCAGTCATGATCACCTCTCCTTTACTGTAGGAGGACGAAACAGACTGGGGAAGACACCTTTCCACCATCATTGAAGGTGCCCCAAGGGATATGGTGGGGGAACAGAACCTGTACCACTCAGAGGGGCTGTTGACGCACCTCTCAAAGTTCATGCTGCCATATGCGGGACTGTGGAGTGGCATTATGCTGGGTTAGTGCTATAGGCTGTAAATGTATCCCCCACAACCTTGTACACTGTCAATCAATCAATCACTGTAAACTCTCAATTTCTATGTTTTTATGTAAAGGGGATCTAGGCAGACACGGACAGGGGCAGGGTTATACAGACGCCTCAAAACGCCATACAAAACTGACCAATTTTCAAAGACAAGTAAGCAACCTCAAATGAAGTCTTCTCCTGTAAGAATAAATGACATTTCCATGGTATAATGTGGTCATGTGTCATTTATACAGAACATCACCATGGCCAACCACACACAGGGGATCATGGAGAAGAGTCAGTGGGACCTGAAACATCTGAGGTTCCAGTCGCGCATCTATAGCCGACTAGATGATGTGGTCCTGCAGTATCAGGCTCTTCATAAATCTCTGTTACGAGAGTACAGAGATACTGCAAGAGTCTTCAATATGAAGGTATAATATTGGCTGTAGTCAATGGTGTACAATATTATAATATAGGTTTGTAGCATATGTATGTGTGGGTTAAAGCTGCTTGCAAGTACTACTGTATTGGGCCTCCTGCATTGGAGTAGCCTAACGTCAGTGGTTTCCAGCCTGTTCCCCCTGTGCATGCACTAATACCCCCCATCCAAAACTGTGGCTCTCACAAATGTATCAAAACATGAAAATTACTAAGTATTTATGTCAAACAAATACACTTACATTGGAGTGTGCCATGCACCTGTACTCTCTTCTCAGTCATATTTGATTATTTTTAAGCTTATAATTTGCTCAAGTAATATCTTTTATGACTTGACCCTAGTCCGGGGGGAGGCCGGGTCTCCCCCCGGTGAGGCCCACCCCAGGTTGGGAACCACTGGACTAAGTAACTGTTACAGAGCACTGTGTACCATGATTTCCACGGTAGGGGAGCAGACAATTGTGCATAATTGCTTCATGTTTGCAGAGATACCAGGTCCTCTCAGAAAAATGGCGGAAAACACGGCGGCGGCAGAAGGAAGGGCACTATGTTTCTGCTTTATCCAGACCTTTCCCCTTCCAGAAGCAGGTTGTCTATAGCACGAAGCTTGACACTAGCAACTGTGAATCAATAATTATTCCATTTACTACTTAGCAAAAGGCCCAACTGTCATCCCCAAGCTCCACGTCTACAAAGAAATCACAGAAATCCCAGCTTCCCAGCATCTATGTCCACAGCCCTGCCTGCTCAGGTAACGACCCAATACAAAACAGGTCAAAGACACCAGCTGTAACATATGACATGTTGTGTAGTATCATTGTACACATTGTCCAACCCTCTTGAAAACATACACACAGTTACATCTTTGGTGATGTGTGTGTCAAATGCATCTTATGCTACACTCAGACAATATTGGTATGCATAACACCAATTGTGTGCAGTCCGGCAGCTCGCCCATGACCCCATCCACATCTCGCCGGGGCCCCGCATCATCAAGAAACCCATCTGTGTTGGCTGACATACATAAGGACCCATCCCAGCCTGGACACATAGCTCCACTGTTGGCACCCAAGCCACCCAAAAATATTGCAACAACACAACAGGTAATAAGCACCAGTGTCTATACCAGGTATGGGCAAACGTTTTGATGCAAGGAACATATTGGAATGTTGAACTTGCTACGAGGGCCAGAGCAGTTGCGAATAGAAATTTTTTAAACAATTAAGCTGTTCTAAGATGGACTGCAATCGAGTAAACGCACTTAAAAAGCAACAAAATAGCGGCAGTAACGCATGTATCTTTTGGTCAGAGAAATATTTGTTTTCACCCTTTTTAAAGCCCTACATAGCGGGCGTGATGTGTTTGCGGTCCGGATTTTAAGGCTATGTGGGCCACATTTGGCCCCCGCGCCTTAGTTTGCCCACCTCTATACAGACAACATAATAGTTCATATGTGCTCTTACGAAATTAATGGATTATGGTAAAGTAAAGCTGACAGCATCAAGACTGTCAGAAAATGTGTGACTTTGTGTCACGGGGTGAGCTGAGTGAGGACTCAAATGCAGGAGTGCCAAAATAAAGCTTTTAATAAAACAAAGTCCAAAAAACAAACTCCAGAAATCCAAAGTAACCAGGACAGAACATGACAAAACAATGAAGCAGCAACAAGGGGAGAGAAGCACAGGGTACATATAGACACAGACACAGGTGAAACACATCAGGGCGGGGCAGACAATCAAGACAGGGGCAAACAGGACTGGAAGTCAAACTGAAACAAAACCACAGAACTTATTTCAAAATAAAAGCAAAATACAAAATCAAAATCCACACCATGACACTTTGCTATGTGCAGCTCTACAGTCTGTGGGAACAGCCACCAGCTGACATTGTGGTGGCTTTGATTTGTGCCCAGCACAGAGGAGACACCATAGCCCTCCACCACAGTGCTATATGCACACTAACCACATGACTGGCTCAATGGGGAGGTAATGTTACTGTTACTCATATATAGTAAATATGTGCCTCAGACATCACACGCACACAGTCATTAAAGTGCTACATATAATCCAGTCACGTGTACTATAGCTCTACTGTTACACATAGTGAGTCACAATGTTAATTATGGAATGAGCTACAACAGCAGATGTGTTTTGTTTAATCAACCCAGCTAACTGACTTGTCGTCTTAATGCAGATTCTAGAAGCCCTCTTACACCTGTTTGTGCGGCACAGTGGAAAAAAGGTGTATGTGCTCAGTCACTACACAGCAGGTGTAATTGTGCATGGCGAGAGAAGGCTACTGGGCAACGTTGCCTTGCCAAGGGTAATGTCTGTGTTGTAAAAAGACATGAGTGAACACAAATATTGTACAATTACAAATTACACAACATTACGTACATGATATAGGCTGTGTACTATATAGTCTCCAATTGACATGGCTAATATGCTGAAAAGGCATCTGATGTTATGATGGTTGTAACTGAGTTGTGGTTCAGAAGCATGTGTAATTTGGCAACCACATTTCCACATCACATACTTTGGATTGTGAATAATGGTTGTATTGTAATAACGGTGAAAGGATAAACACTTTAAGGGCATATTTAGTACACATCTAATGTGCAATTCTTTGTCCATATGATGTTGTAATAATGGCACCACTGTTGTAAGCATTGTAACTTGGTACTATTGAATTTACAAGACTTTTCAGCAGTACTGAAATGTATTCACTATTATGTTTTACAGGTGAACTTTGAGGAGTATGATGGTGTCATTGCGTCATTGTGTCAATGTGAACAATACACACTGGACCTTGCTGGTCAGTATGTACACTCACAAAGACATGTACTTGGAGTAATGTTATCCTCTCCTAGTATGTTAATGCTGTGACCGCCACCATCTACTTGTTGGACCCCTTGGACAAGCCCACTGCCAAGTCAGATTCGATGGCTGCTGCCAAGAGGTTCAGGTACGTGTGCCTTATTTAGTTAATGTACATTATTAGTGCATTGACACAAAGGTTTTACCACTAATATCAAAATGTGAACATCACAGTGAATACATGAAAATGCGGCGCCTGACAAGAGGCAAGTGGCAGTGGACTGAAAAGCAGTGGGAAGGGGGAGTAGTACCACACTCTGCCCAACAAGATGGCTCAAGTTGTGGAGTCTTAACATTGTTGGTAAGGAAATTGTTGTATTTATTGACATTTTGCCTACAGTACATATTCAGACAACCCACAAAAGTGTTGCTGTATTCTGCTTTGAGCACATATAGCACATAGTGTGAGTGTGTCAGAAATGATGGCCATTTGCAGGGCTAGGCAGTAATTAGAGATGTAAATATACAACAGTATGCCTTTCTGAAAAGGATCATGCTACTGTAAGGGGTGTGTGAAACCCTTCAAGAGGGAATTCAGATGTCCCATTTGTGATCACAGTGGCTAGATTTGCATGTAAATCTTGCCACATGACATGGCTAGATTGTCTTGTGGCAACAAGTTTGATCCACTGCTACCCATGTGGCAGCAGGTTCTTGATAGCCTAGTGCAGCCATTCCCAAACTCAGTAACACCGAGGCCCCCTTAAAAATCTGACGGGTCTGCGTGGCCCCCCAAAATAATAACCAAGAAGACAACATTAAGAATAGGCTCTTCTGGTTATTTTATTTTGGGGAAATAGCCTCTGCTACAAACATTGTAATACAAAAATGATTACAGTGGATTATTCAAGTCAAATAATGAACACAAATATTTTAATATTACAAACAAAACATTATAAATTTAACATTAAAAAATTATATATTTTTTTTATTTTTTTTTATGACCTCCCGCGGCCCCCCTGCAGTACCCTCGCGGCCCACCAGGGGGCCGCGGACCCCATTTTGGGAGACACTGGCCTAGTGGATACAGCACAGGTTCAGTAATTTGAAGGTATGAGGCTCTCAGTCAGGAATGTCTTATTTTTTCAGTCAATTGTAGTAATAAAGTAAAATACAAATGGTATAGAGCTGGGACTTGAACTCACAATGTTGAGGATGGAGCAGTATTCATTTGTGCGGTGCCTTAACCACTCGACTGTTGGAAACACTTTACTTTCTCTACAAACACAATCATTTCATGGATAACTTGTGGGGTTTTTATATACATTTTTCATACAAAAATATTGTCTAGATTTTCATACACCAAAGTCATTAACATTAGTTTGCTGTATTTTCCTTGTAACTTTAGGCACAAGGAATATCAAAAAGAAAGACATTAGATGAATATCAGATGATGCATATTAGATTATGGGGTTTACACGCCACATCAATAATCCGACAACTCCAGAAATCACACTATGATCATTTTGGTCTCCATGCAAATGTAGCTAGTGTGATGTGACATACTTTGTCTCACATGGATGAGTTATCTTACAGAAATTACGCACCAATGTGAATGTGGGACTGTTAACAAAAAGCTTTGGTTCATGTGGGACATTTTGCAAGTTGTATGAGCAACCAGTTGTAATTTGGGAGCCGCAGAGAACTAAAGTGCAGAAGGTCTCAGGGTCAAGCTCATAACTTGGGGCTACAGTGGCGCTGATGGTACTTGGGTCCTCTCATGATCCGAATGTTGCGGTCAGAACCCCACCTCATGAAGGTGCACACGGTTGTGTCCTTGTGCAGGACACCTAACCCGCCGTTCCTCAGTGTCTGCATACATTGGTGTTGCGAAATACAATTTATCCCATGTAAAGCATAGTTTTTTTTGTTCTTCATATCTAAATGTGCATGCCAACCCCATGAGTCCTATTATTTGATTCATGTAGGCAGTGACCATGACTATTTCATGATTAAACTACGAACAATGGGCAGACCAATGCTTGTTGAGAGAAAACAGATAATCGTTGGTTCCCAACCTTTGTTTTTCGCTTGAAGCCCCCGATGTGCTGTAGTTTGGCCATGGCCCCCACAAATGTATCAAAACATGGACATAATTGCAAAGTGTTTATTTCCAAATACTAACCTGAAATTAGAGTATACTAAGTGTGAATTAATGTAATATGGATTTTGTGTAATTCAGATGGCTGAAGAGATACTCCGCTGTTTTCCGTCTGTTCCCGCCAACATAATTATGGATCACTCATCACACAACATGGTGCAAGAAGGTGCAGAGGCTGGCTCTGCAGATTTTTGCTGACTCGGGTATGACGATGATCTGATAACATATACAGCTGTGTGTCTACCCCCATAAAAGACAAACTCGCCATATGCAATCATTTACAATTATACTATTCTTCAGCATACTTATTGCAAAGTTACAAATAACTTGTAGATCAAGACGCTTTAATGTGGTTTGGGTGTAGGCATTATTGTACTTTTGGGGGTGGGCATACATACATCCAGGGGCCAAAACCAGTTCTACAAATAGGTGCGTAGTCCCTTAGCGGACTTCGCTAGTGGGATATCACGTGACCCCCAGGTCACAGACGCAAGAGAGATCAAACAAAAAATTCTCCAATCACTAGCGATCCTCCTCTATAAGAGCCCCTGCTCCATAGCCGCGCCCCCTCTTTCACTCTGGCGCCGATTGAGATCTACCACAGTACTTACTTTGTTCTGAGATGTCTTCCATTGTTCGTCCGAGTTCCCCTTCGCCCTCCGGCGTCGGACGTTGTCACTGCTCAACTTGTCGGGTCAGGCTCCAGCGCACAAACCAGCATGCCAGCTGCTTCATGTGCCTGGGTTCGGGCCATGCGGCGTCGAGTGCTAGCTGCGCCTCGTGTCTCGCTCTCCCCAGGGAGGAGAGCGAACGCAGGCGTGCGTTCTTCGCCGCTACAGCGCCCCGTCCGGACTCCTCTCAGGACGAGGAGTCTGAGATTGACTGGGCCCCACTCGACCTTCCGGCCGTGCCCGCGGAATGGGATGACTGCGAGGACGGAGAGGTTTCGGAGGACGGCTCTCTCCTCACACTGGACGAGGTGGTGTCGAACCCGGAGCCGGACCACTTTCCGCTGGACCACATGCTCGGTCTCTACTCCTC